GAAAATCACACACACACACACACACACACACACACACACACACACAAATATATATATATATTAAGAGAGGGTGAAGGAAATAACTGGAAATGAGATGAAAATAACAAATTGAAAATGCTGATCACCTAATTAGTGTGAGTGTGCATCTTCAAAGGTAAGTAAATGATCCTACATCATAGGCACTCTCTGGGCGTCTTGACAATTACCAGGTTACTCTGGAACTAGCAACAGGTGAGCAAGAAATGCAAGTAATGCAAAATGGCAGATTTGGCAGTTCGAGGATGTAAACTAGCAATGCAATGCCATCAAGGAGTTGGGTGCCCTAGGATTCTCAGGACTTTGCAACTTATTTAATACTGTTTCCTTCAAGAAATTACAAGCCAATACCTTGAGATTTTATTTGCATAAATACTATTTCAGGAATGTCGAATTGACTAAACGATGTTTAAGTCTACTCCACTATATCACAGGTGTGTCCCCTATTTTACCTCATTTCATTTTAATGAAATTTGATTTCATAATGTTAAGAACTGTCTGATTTCAAACTTGGTGCTCTTTCCTCTAATTTGTTTGCAATGAGAAAATTGCAAACAAATGTTAAGTTCAGTGTTCTAAGAGAATATGAAGATAGAACTAAAAACTGCCTGAGATCAGAATAGGCTCCTAAAAGGCAGTGAACCTATATTCTTGAGGTTCACATAAGCCTCAAGGGATAAGGGATTAGGAAGGACTCACTAAGCAGGTAAACCATTTCCTCCTGGAGAGCCCTTTGCTAGGTTCCAGATCTGCCCTCCTTAAGAGTGAGAGAGGAGATAAAAGGGGAGTGGAATAAAGACTCATTCTAGTTCTTGTCCCCTCTCTTCCACATCAAAGTGTGTTTGTTTTGTGTCCCATACTCAACCCATAGTGGCATTATGATGTTGTTTATGCTTCCCTTTGGGTGACTATTTCATTTTAAAAGAGAGGTTCTGTCCCATCTCCTGATGAATGGAGAAATAAAATTGGTACATGCATATAATGCAATATTATTTGGCCAAAAAAGGGGAGTAAATGCTAATAAATTCTTCTACATTGATAAGCCTTTTTTCAATCAGCATCATGTTTTCAAGTTTTATCACAGAAGCCCATATATTGGACTGGGGATGTAGCTCAGTGGCAGGGCGCTTGCCTAGCATGTTCTAGATCCTGGTTTCCATCCCCAGCGCTGGAATGGGGGGGGGGAAGCCATATTGCCACATATTGTAATTCCATTTACATGACAGGTCCAGAAGAGGCATTACAGGTATAGAATAGATCTGTGGTGGCCTAAAGCTGAAAAGGAAGCTGAGGGGGATAAAGGGAGTGATTACTAATGGGATATGGGGGCTTCTTTCTGAAGATATGGGAAATGTTCTAAAATTTATTGTGATGGTGGTTATACAACTATTTTAAAAACCACCGATATGTACACTTTAAACTTTAAATGGGTGGATTGTGTGTTATGTAAATTTATCTCCATAATGTTCTATTCAGAAAAAGGATATCTGAAAATGTAATGCCCTTATTGACTAACTCAGTATTTACAGGAGGCTGCAATGTGCTGGGGGCTTGTTAGAATCTAAGATAAGAGATCCAATAAACCCCAGGCCCTGTCCTTAGGAAACTTACATCCTGGTGGCAAGAAAATGAAATGAGTGTTTTTATAAGGATTCTAATGGTGGAACTTTATAGAAGTAGGAAACATTTGGGATTGATGCCTTTTAGCACCCCTAAAATCACTTCCACATGAGTAGCAAGTTGTGTTTGTTATTGTATGTGCGATAATGAACAACTGAACAGTCTTTTCAAGTTAATAAAGTACTTTCATATATATATATATTAGCCTCATGTGACCTGCCTATAAAGTAGAAACTACTTCCTTAATTTTACAGAGAAGTGATCTAGGTCACACAACTAATTAGTGAAAAAAAAACAGGACTCAAATTTTCTAAGACTTTTTCAAATTAACTACCTGGCAGTCCCATCCATCGGGTCTCCCAAGCCAGAAATCTGTTTACCTTTACCACTACCCCAACCAGTCGCTAAGTCCTGGAAAGCCTGTCTCTTCTATATCTGTACCCTTTGAGGGGCTCATCAATTCTTCCATTTTCTGGAAGACACAAGGACTCTGACCTCACCTCCTTCAATACATTCTCCATGGGCAGGCAGAGAGAAATTTCCAGAATATTAATTGTTTTTTCTGATTAATATTCTCTGTTCCTCTCTGTATATAGGCAATGTTCATGCCAGGTGGACTGAATTTCTAAATAGTCGTGCTTTTTCCATCTAGACTAGTTAGCCTTTTCCTCCCAATCTAGCTAAGTGAATTTCATCCTAAGGAATGTTAAACCTAAAAAGATTTAACCTAGGTATCCCTTTCTGAAAGGCCCACCTCTGAACTTCCATGGTTAGCAGCTTCCATCATAACATTTATTCTTTCCATAACCACTGGTTTTCTTGTCTGTCTCTACTGAATTAGAAACATCTTGAAGGTAGAGCTCATGTCTTATTGTTCTTCAATTTTCCTTACAGGCACTTAATCATGTTTTCTTTCTTTTTATTTTTTATTTGTTGGAATTATAGAAGGACAGTATGGCTTTTTAAAATTTATTTATTTATTCTAATTTGTTATACATGACAGCAAATGCATTTCAATTTATAGTACACATATGGAATACAAATTTTTATTTCTCTAGTTGTATACAAAGTAGAGTCACACCATTCCTGGTTCAAAAATGTGTCATTTTGGAGGTATATCTGGGGGTGGGAGTGAGGGGAACAGTGATTTAGTAACAAACTTCTACAATCTATGCACATTTTCCATTGTTTGGCAACAAATATATTTTAGTTAAATATTTACTGAGGAGCTGCAGTAGGGGCTCTAGAGGTAGAGCATTTGCCTGGCATATGTGAGGCCCTGGGTTCAATCCTCAGCACCACATATAAATAAATAAATACATGTACCTAGGGTAATGATGTCCATCTCATTCCACCATCTATACCCCCATGCTCCCTTCCTCCCCAACAGCATACCCTTGTTTTATTTTATTTTTATGTGGTGCTAAGGATTGAACCCAGTGCCTCACACGTGCCAGGCAAGCACTCTGCCACTGAGCTAGAGCCCCAGCTCTTAATCATGTTTTCTGAATAAAATACTTTTTTAAAATGCCTTTACATAGATGGGACTTCTAGCTCTCAAGAGAAGAGGATTAATAATCTTCAAGCAATGAGGCAACAATGGATATGGTTTCTAGTTTAAACACCTGTTCCACATCAATAAAAAATCTTCCTTAATCATTATTTTTGTCCTTTGTTCACTGTTGTCACTTCAACAATAACAGTTCATTGTATCAAAACACTAATCTGATTTTTTTTTTAAATTTTTGGTACTGGGAATTGAAACAAAGGGTGCTCTACCATTGAGCTATATCTCTACCCCTTTTTAGTTTTCATTTTGAGACAGGGTGTTGCTAAGTGGCGTAGGGCCTCAAAAAACTGCTGAGGCTGGCCTTGAACTTGGGATCCTCCTATCTCAATCTCACCAGTCCCTGAGATTACAGGAGTGCTCCACCATGCCTGGATAATCTGACATTTCTAATGATGGAAAGGTCTACTAGGATGGACTTACACAACAGCCCCAACAACAGAGATAAATGCACAAATGCATCAATCAATCCCTTACTGTATAAGGACAGTAACTTCGGTGGAAAATCACTCTGGAGTTTACTTTTCTTTGGTAACTCTTTGAAACCAAAATGTGGCAATATTGAGTAGGTCATCCTCTGAATACAGCTAGTCCAGTCAGTTTCACAGACTATTGTTGACAAGTTTTCTCCGACAATATATACCTCCTATAGCTATTGGTTAAAACTAGGATGTAGCTGTTGGCTGTATAAGCCTACACTGCATAATGTTTCAGGTTCCATAGCTCTTTCACACCAAAGTAAATATATTGTCAAAGGTTAAACCATTTGGCAGAGTATGTCAGTGGTTAAAAAATATGTCATTTGGGAGATATATCTGCGGGTGGGAGTGAGGGGAGCAGTGATTTAGTAACAAACTTATGTGCAATCTATGCACATTTTCCATTTTTTGGCAACAAGTTAAATATTTACTGAGATATTGCAGTGGTGGCTCAGTGGTAGAGCACTTGCCTGGCATGTGTGAGGCCCGGGATTGAATCCTCAGCACTACATATAAATAAATAAATAAATAAATAATATAAAAGATCCATTGACAGCTAAGAAATATTTTTTAAAAAATTTACTGAGCACCTAGTGCATACCAAGTGCTAAGTGTTAGGGATACAATTTTAACTATAACATGTTGTTTTCAACATCATTATTAGCCACACCTAAAAACAGTAAATCTTGCAGAAAATCGCAAGCTTTCCTCCAGGTTTGCAGGGCACATAATATTTAACTCAAGAATTGTCAAATCTAATTGAAGACTCTCCATTATCCAATTATGGAAATACGATCCTCATGACTATATTCCAAATAAGATGCACTGTACATTTCCAAACATCAACAAACTGCTCTCAGTGGTTGTCTCTGGGACGAGGGACTAGGAGATTGGGACAGTGGAGCTGCGAGAGGGGGGCATTTACGTTTGAGTTTTTTTCCTTGTGCTTTGGTGCGCGCTGGGCCTCACAGAGGCGAGAAGGCACAGCTGCAGACCCTCAGGCTACCTGCAGTCTCCCGCCCACGCCTCCCCTGCAGCGCTCACAGCCCGGGGCAGGCCGGGTGGAGCAAGCTGGGTGAGGATGCCTGAGAACGTGGGCTCATTCCGGGGCTCTGCACTGGGCGCCTGCAGTCTCCGCGGCTAATGGGTACACGGTTCTTGCCGATGCCACTTGGTTGAACGTTGCTGGGAAGCAGCTCCGGGTTGCAGGGCAGGAACGTGCCCTTCCCCCGCGGCAAACTTTCGGTCGTGCAACGGAAGCAGGAACTTGCTAACCACAAAACCCGGCCGCGGTTGCTGGAGCAGCGGAGCATCCCCCCGACCCCGCAGTCCTCGCCTAGACCTCCGGCGCCGATTCGCTGGTACTTGATGCGGGCGCATCGGATCTGTCTTTGCTTTCAAAGGGGAACTGGGACCCCCGGGGTCCTCTCGCCACCAGGTAAAGGTGTTTTCGTCCTCCTCTCTCGAATGGCCCCTAGAAGCGTCGCTACCTGCAGAAAGAGGAGCTCTGTTCCTTTCCCAGGGCCGAGTTCCTTCACTCACACCGAGCATCCGAAGATTTTTGTGTCACTGCAGTATCCCAAAGGGGATTGCCAGGCAGGGTCAGAAGCACCTGCCTTAAATGGCACCAGCTCAGCACTGTTATCAGAGGGAGAGGCGGAAGAATAGTTCAGTGAGCAACATACCTTTCTTCAAAGGAAGGGAAATTTCCCCATGTTTTCTTATATGGTTTATTTCCATTTTCCTACCTTCCTAATCGTACAATTGTACTAATTGTTCAGGTGCTTCTGCAGTTCTAAGCATCCTGATAAATTAGAGTATGCTGTGAGTAAAATGATTTCCAATATTTCAAATAGTCATGTACAAATAAATCTTAGTGATCCATAAGCTGGAGTAAAGGCTCATGTACTTTCTCTCTCTTACCTTAACCTTTCCCCCATCTGCCAGCCGAACAGCTTGACCTTTAAGGCCAAAATAATAATGGGTTAGAAAGTAATCAGTTGGAGTTGTAGCTCAGTGGTAGTGTTTGCCTAGCAAGCACAGGCCCCTGGGTTCTATTCCCAGCACCACAAAAATAAATGGATAATCAAATAGACAAAAAGAGGGAGGCAGAGCACAGCTTCATATATATATATATATATATTTTAGCTTCTTTAATGAGATAAGCTCTTTAGAACTTCTTGCAGTGCAGGTGCTATAAAGATGCTGCATAAAGAGAACCCTCCTGTCCCATCTCTCATAGTTCAGGTTTCTTAGCAGGGAAGAGACTAATTAGAATCCAGTTGAAAGTAAGATATTTGCCTTTTTCTAGTTTCCTTTGGCATAGAAAACAGGCATGTAGACTGTAGCAGCATAATAAGTAACTAGTGCCAAGATTTTTAACCTGAGGAATCCGTGATACTCAAAGAGTCTGTGAATAGAATTCAGGAATCTATGAACTAAGGTGAAAAAAATGTGTTATTTCACTAACCTCTAAGTGAAAGGTAGCATTTCCTTTAAGAGGAATATAGGCAAAAGCCACAGTAGTAATAACAGTAGCTATGATTTGCCACCCATAGGTATCAGACTTTTTCATGTATGTTACTTGTTGCATGTGTCTCAAAATATTATTTTTTATATATTTTATTTTCTTGTTGTAGTTGAACACAATACCTATTTTTATTAAATTATTTAATGTGGTGCTGAGGATCGAACCCAGGGCCTCACATGTGCTAGGTGAGCACTGTACCGCTGAGCCACAACCCAAGCCTCAAAATATAAATTATGGCAGTTATGGGGCTGGGTTTGTGGCTCAGTGGTAAAGCATTCATTTGCTCAGCAGCTGCGAGGCCCTGGGTTAGGTCCTCAGCACCAGATAAAAATAAATAAAAATAAAGGCATTGTGTCCAACTACAACTAAAAATAAAGATTTGTTTAAAATTATGGCAGTTATTAGATGTACCAGTTATCATTTAATTGCTTAATAAAGAAGTACATAGCCGGGCGCTGTGGCTCATGTGAGGCTGAAACAGGAGGATTGCAAGTTCAAAGCCAGCCTCAGCAAAAGTAAAGCATTAAGCAACTCAGTGAGACCCTGTGTCTAAATAAAGTACAAAATGGAGCTAGGGAGATGGCTCAGTGGTTGAGTACCCCTGAGTTCAATCCCCAGTTTAAAAAAAAAAAGTATCAGTAATAGTGGTAGTACATATATGCCAGACATAGTGACACACACCTGTCATCCCAGCTACTTGGGAGCCTGAGTCAGGAGACTTGTAAGTTCAAAGTCAAGCTGGGCAATTTAGCAAGGCCCTGTGTCAAAAAAAAAGGCTGAGGCAGTGATGCGGTGGTAGAGCATCCCTGAATTCGGTCCCTAGTACCACACACACAGCAGCACATATATATCACAAAATGTCAGGTTTTTTATTCGAACTGCAAATGGGAATAATAAGGGGATCTATCTCATTAGGATTCTTGTAAGGATTAAAGACATGTGTGTAAAGTGCTTAGCATGGAGACTGGCATGTGAGAAACCATATTACCATTTTATTATATACAGAAGTTGAACATAATAGCAAAGGAGGTATTAGACTTGTGTTCTATTCCTATAGACTGATTTTATTTTTTTAACCTTTTTAAAATATATTTATTTTTTAGTTGTAGGTGGACACACAATATCTTTATTTCATTTTTATGGGGTGCTGAGGATTGAATCCAATGCCTCACGTGTGCTAGGCAAGCACTCTACAACTGAGCCACAACCCTAGCCCTATTTTTTAACCTCTTTCGTATTTTTTTTTTACTAAAGTTTATACCTCACATGGGTTTACTCTACATGTTTTACAATTCTACCATGTTTTTTAATTAATTGATTTATTTCTCAAGTATTTTTCTAATAGGTTAGACTTTTTTATTGCAAGAACATAAGCATGAAAAAATAGAGACATGAGTAGATGCCGGCTAATTTTTTTCCTGCATAAATGAGTCTGAAGTATGAAGGGTAATATGGAATCTTCTCAGATTTTGTTCCACCATCCTTACCATCTTAACCTTTCTTCTGGTTGAGGTGAGAAGTTCTATCGGTTTTGATAGATATGCAATGAAATGTATCCACCATTGTAATATCATACAAAATAGTTTCACTGCCTTAAAAATCTACTGTTCTCCACTCACACATTCCTCTTTTCTTTCTGGTAAGCACTGTCTCTTTAGCTTGGCTTTTCCAGAATGTCACATAGTTGGAATCACATCAATTCAGACTGGCTTCTTCTTTTACTAAGCAATATGATTTGATCATTTCCTTTTGTTGCTGAATAATATTTCATGGTATAGTTGTATCTCATTTTGTTGATTCATTCACCTATTAATGAACAGTTTGTGTCCAGTTTGGGGAAAATTATGAATAAAGCTACTATAAGCATTCTTGTGCAGGTTTTTGTATGGATACAGTTTTTAACACATTTGGGTAAATATATTATAGGACAATTGCTTAATTGTTTGGTAAAACTATATTTAGCTTTGTAAAAAAATTCCTGAGTTTTTCCAAAATGATTATACCATTTTGCATTCTTATAAGCAATGAATAAAAGTTCTTATTGCTCCATATCATTGACAGTATTTGCTATCATCACTTTTTGGATTTTAGACATTCTTATATGTGTGTAGTGGTATCTCATTTGAATTTGCAATTCCCTAATGACATGTGACGTTGAGCACCTTATGCTTATTTGTCATCTATGTATCTTTGGTGAGGTCTATGGAAATCTCCTGCCCATTTTTTAGTTTTTTTTTCCCCCTTATTATTGAGTTTTAATTGTTCTTTGTAAATTTTGGATACCAATCCTTTATTAGATATGTTTTCAAATAGTTTTTCCAAGCATATGTTTGTCTTTTCATTCCTTTAACAATGTCTGTTATATAGAAAAAGGTTTTAATTTTTTAAATTTATTTTTTAGTTATAGGTAGTCACAATATCATGAAGATTTTTTTTCTTTTTATGTGGTGCTGAGGATTAAACCCAGTGCCTCACACATGTTAGGCAAGCGCTGTACCTCTGATCCACAACCCCAGCCCCAAGGTTTTAATTTTAATGAAACCTAACATTGATTTTTTTTCTTTTATGGATTATGCTTTTGGTATTGTATCTGAAAACTCATACTTTAGTCTGAGGTCACAAAGATTTTTCTCTTATGTTATCCTCTCAGAATTTTATGGTTTTGTGTTTTACATTTGAGTTAATGATCCATTTTGAGTTAGTTTTAGTACAAGATATAAGGTTGTGTCAAGAGTTATCTTTTGCACATGGATAGTCAGTGATTCCAGCACCATTTTTGAAAAGACTACCTCCATTGAATTGACTTTGCTCCATTATCATGGATAAGTTGCCTGAATTAGTGTTTGTCTCCTTCTAGGCTTGCTATTCCATTTCATTGATCTATTTTCCTATTTTTCGAGTACCACACTTTTTTGATTACTATAATTTTTTTTTTTAGTACCAAGGATTGAACTGAGGGTGCTTTACCACTGTACTACATCACCAGTCCGTTTCTTTTTTATTTTGAGGTCTTGCTAAGTTGCTGAGGGTCTTACTAAGTTTCTAGGGCTAGCCTCAAACTTGAGCTTCTCCAGCCTTCGCCTCCCAAGTTGATGGGATTACAGTGTGCACTACTGTGCTCAGCTACTATAGCTTTATAATAAATATTGAAGTCAGATAGTGTTGGTTCTCGAGCCTTATTGTTCTTCAGTATTGTGTTGGCTAGTCTAGGTCTTTTTGCACTTCTATGTGAACTTTAAAATCAGTTTGTTGGTATCCACAAACTTTTTTGCTGGGATTTTGATTGAGGATGTATTGAATCTATAGATCAAGTTGGGAAAAACTGACATCTTAATAGTGTTAAGGCTAGGGATATAGCTCAGTTGGTAGGGTTCAATTCCCAGCACTACAAAAAAAAAAATGCATTATTGGGCTGGGGTTGTGGCTCAGCGGTAGAGCACTTACCTAGCATGTGCAAGGCCCTGGGTTCGATCCTCAGAACCACATAAGAATAAATAAAGTTAAAATATTGTGTTCAATTACTTATAAAAAATAAATATTTAAAAAAATAATGTAAGATCTTCCTATTCTTGAACATGGACTCTCTCTCCATTTACTTAGATCTTCTTTGATTTCTTTCATCAATATTTTATAGAAACATTTTAAAGACTATTTAAAAAAATTTTTTTAGATATTGATGGACCTTTATTTTATTCATTCATTTATATGTGGTGCTGAGAATCGAACCCAGTGCTTCACACATGCTAGGCAAATGCTTTACCACTGAGCTACCACCCTAGCCCTTAAAGACTATTTTGATAAGTATTTTTCAATGTAACTGGCTTCCTTAGTAATCCTATATATTTCATCTTATGCTTTTTAAAATGTGTATCTCAGGATAGTTCATAACCTTCCTTAAACTATCAAAGGGATTTGTGACCAAAGAAAGGTTAAAAAGAAGCAGTAATTCTGTGCTAAAGCTATCATTCAGTCAACATTTGTAGTCTGGAAATATAGGAGTAGGTGAGTGAGTGTATAATAATATTATCTTGTCAGTTTAACATTTATTTCTCCTGAAAAAATCGGCTTTTCCAATGGAGTTGGCATTATACATAGTGTAACTTGTATTTTTTGGGGGTGCCAATAAGTCTTTTCCATAAACTTTCCTTCAAATGAACCAGAATATTCCCTCTACTGACCAGATAATCCCTAGATTTAGATTATTAGATTTATCTGCCTCCATTCCAATATATAAAGAGAGGCAACAGTAAGAAAATCTTCCTCTACTTCCTCATTTACAATGAGGTAAAAATAAGTTTTGTTTTGTTTTTTAGTAGGGCATGTGGCTCATGTCTGCAATCCTAGTAATTCCAGAGGCTGAGGCAGGAGGTTTGCAAGTTTGAGGCCAGTCTGGGCAATTAGTGAGACCCTGTCTCAAAATAAAAAAACATCAAGGGCTGGTGATGTAGCTCAGAGGTAGAGCACCCCTGGGCTTCGTCCTCAGTGCTGCAAAAGAAAATGTGTGTGTGGTGGGGGGATGCTCTTTTGCAGGGCTGCTATAGGATTAAAGAGTGTGATATATGCAAATTGTTTAGCACGATGCCCCCCATCCAGTAGATGATTTTAAAATCATGTTATTGCTAAGAAAGGAAGTGTGCACAAACCTAGTATCACTTTTTCTTCAGTAACTAGAAATTTTGTGTTCTCTCTCCTCCTAGTTAGGAGAGGCAAGAAGAACTAGAACTCAGACTTCTACTTATACCTCTTCATTGGTACTGTCAGCTTTTAATCATCAAGAGGATAGTATTTGTGTTTGCGCTTACTTGTTATTTGCCAAGTTTCTAATAAGTGTTCATCTCAAATATATTAAGGGTGAAATAAACAAAACATACTTGTTTCTGTCTGTCCTTCTCTAGGTTGTATGTGGGTCATTTTCATTAATTGAAATATTTTTTCCTTGGTTTGTAAAGGAAACAAAACTGATTGATGACTTTCTATTTTTGTTCTAGAGAGCAGTTCTATCATTTGTGCAAGCTTTCTGAAGCAAACTGAGATCACAGAAAGAGTCATTCTTAACCTTTGAAGACCAAGACTAAAGTGAAATTTAAAATGTTCTTCAGGGAAGAACGAAGCTTGACCTACACTTTGGTGATAATTTGTTTCCTGACTTTACGGCTGTCCGCCAGCCAGAATTGCCTCACCAAAAGTCTAGAAGATGTTGTCATTGACATTCAATCATCTCTTTCTAAGGGAATCAGAGGCAATGAGCCCACATATACAATAACTCAGGAAGACTGCATTAATTCTTGCTGTTCAACAAAAAACATAACAGGTAAATAACATGGCAACCCTTTATTCCATATTTTAATAAGCATCTGGTAGATGTGACATAATCATCTGGTAGATGTGACTGAATAATTTTTTTTAATATTTATATTTTAGCTGTAGTTGGACACAATACCTTTATTTTATTTATTTTATGTGGTGCTGAGGATCGAACCCAGAGCCTTGCACGTGCTAGGCGAACGCTCTACCGCTGAGCCACAATCCTAGCCCTTGAACTGAATAATTTATACCAGTGATTCTCAATGGGGAAGAAAGGTGGGTGACAAAATCACTGAGGAATTTTCCACAAGTGTGCCTTCCCCTTCTCTAAGCTGTGTTAACTTTACTGATGAATTTGTGTGTACATCCCTCAGGTGATTGGGTAGACAAGAGTTTGAGAATCACTGGTGTTTTATTCTAACAGGCCTTGTTTGGCCTGTTGAAAACAAAAATTGTATTTAAATGCTTAGTTTCCATCATCATGAAGTACTGGGATACAGTGTGATGTTACAAGAATATGTAAACAGAACAAAGGAGTTGAGATGAAAAATAAAGGTCCTAAGCTCTGGGGGTAGTGGCGTGTGCAGCTTGGGAGGCTGAGACAGGAGGATTGTGAGTTTAAAGCCAGCCTCAGGAACTTAGCAAGACCCTGTGTCAAAATTAATTAATTAATTAATTAAGAGAGAGAGAGAGAATTTTTTTAAATATTTATTTTTCAGTTCTCAGCGGACACATCTTTGTTTGTATGCGGTGCTGAGGATCGAACCCGGGCTGCATGCATGCCAGGCGTGCACGCTACCACTTGAGCCACATCCCCAGCCCCCTGTGTCAAAATTTAAAAGAAGGGGCTGGGGTTGTGGCTCAGTGGTAACGCACCTGCCTGGTGTGTATGAGGCACTGGGTTCGATTCTCAGCACCACATATAAATAAATAAAATAAAGGTCTATCAACAACTAAAAACCACATTTAAAAAAAGGGCTGAGGATATGGTTCAGTGGTTAAGTGCCCCTGGGTTTAATTCCCAGTATAAAAAAAAAAAGTCGTAACTCATTCCATTAGATTTAAAATCTAATCAGAATTTGACTTTTAAGTGGAAGCACAAAACCTTCACTTTATGGGCCTCCCTGAGCTGGCACGACACAGAATGAAGCCACTGACCACTAGGTAATTGCAGCTTCTAGGACTCTGCAGAGGCAGGGAGTTATTTAGGGACCATGCACATGACACAGAAGGAAACTGAGTCTGATATGTTTGAACAATGCCTTTATATACTTAACATCTGCAACCTGAAAAGAGAACTACATATCTAAACAGTGGTTGCTTTTCAGTTTTTCTTATGTCTTGTCCTAGTTCTCTCAATGAAAAGACAACTACATTTATTGAGCACCTAATACCTCTCTAAGTGATGTAGACAAAACAGTGAATAAGATGGACAAAGTCTTGCCATTAAGGAACCTAGAAGAGCTAGTGAATCCTGGACCAGTGCTTCTTGACTTATTAGCCAACCAAAGCATATGTTCACTCTTGAATTTTTACTTTCTTTTCTTTCTATAATGATTATAGTATAATAACCAATATGTATGTAGTCTTTATCCCTGGTTCCTGGCACAGAGCTCCTAAAAACCTTTGGAATTTCCTGAGTGATATGAGCACACATCTTTTGTTATTTATAACCCTTTTAACCATACCTGAATTTGTGCTAATGAAGCTACTCTTGACAGCTCCCTAGATTGCTTCTAGATAAGTGCTAATTGCCAGAAAGGCCACTTCATCAGAATCTTGGAAAGTTCAAGCCTCCCACCCCACCCCACCCACCCATCCAGGAAAGGCCTAGAGATTGATTGAATCACATTGGCCAATAATTTAATCGTGTAATAAAACCTCCAGGGGCTGGGGTTGTAGCTCCTTGGTAGAGTGCTCGCCTCGCACTGTGAGACCCTGGGTTCGATCCTCAGCACCACATAAAAATAAGTAAACAAAATAAAGATATTATGGCCATGTATAATTTAAAAAATTTAAAAAATAAATAAAATAAAACCTCCATATAACCCCCTATGTATGATTTGGGGGAGTTTCCAGGTTGGCGAACACATCCATGTGCTAGGAGGGTAGTACATGCCATTTCCATAAAAACAGAGGATACTATACTCGGGACCCTTCCAAACATCATCCTGTATGCCTCTATCCAGAGATTTATTTATCTTTCTGTTTAGCATGCACAAGAGCCCCTGGGTTCAATCCTCAACACACCAAAAAAATCATTTTTATCTTTTTAACAACTATAATGGTAAATATAGCATTTACCTGAGTAAATACCATGAGCCATACTAGGAAATTATCAAATTTGAAGGGTAGGGTTTTGGCAGCCCCTGAATTTGTACCTAGACAGATGGTCCTGTAATATGGAGGCCCAATGTTTGCTACTGGCTTCTGAAGTGAGGGCAGTCTTGTGGGACTGAGCCCTTAAACCCTGGAGTCTGATGCCAATTCTAGGTATTTGAGTCAGAATTGAATTGAATTATTGGGTATCCAGTTTTGTCAGAGAATTAGAGAACGGGTGTGGATGATACTGTATTCTTGGTGTCAGTAGGAAAAACCCCTTCAGGGTTCTTTAACTAAGCAGTGTGCTTTTTGGATACTGTATATGACAGAATTTTAAATTCTTACTTTTTTAATGTTGATAAAAACATTTATGTGAAATAGAAAGAAACATAACCTGCAAACAGGACTGAATGCTCTCAGTGTGGGTATTTCCTGGCACTCTAGGGAACTGCATTTCTCCTCAATTCTAAGAAACGAGGGTTTGCTGTTTTTATTTTACCAGCACAAGTGCTATTACCACTTACTATAAGCAAAGGTACCTGTGAGATATCAGTTCATGGATCTCAAACTTTTCCCTCACTTATTAAGCAATGTTTTTTTTTTTAACTGTTTACGGTTCAAAAGACACTTTGATAATTGGCTGATAGCCATGTACTCTAAAAAATGCACATAAACACAAAGGACCCCAAATTTTGCAGCTTATGGCTTCTTTATTTTACCTAAGTGCCAAAAAGAATGTACTGCAGATAACACATTTTTGAGAAATGAAAAGCAGGAATCTCTCTTATTCCCTGAGTAGTGAAGAAATGATGATAAAACCCTTGCAGAAGCTAAAAATCTTCATTCTCACCTAGAGATCCCGGTTGATCCCTAGCCATTTGCTGGTCTTGAAGAAGTGGTAAAAATGATAAGGGAAATAAGGAAAGCCAAAAGAATGATATTTGTTTGGATATGAGGTGTCATCCAAAAGCTCCTGTTAATGCAAGACTATTCAGAAGTCAAGTGATTGGATTATGAGCTATAACCTAATTAGTTCATCCTAGATTGAATGAATAGACTGGGTGTAACTATAGGCAGGTGAGGCTTGGCTGGATGGGACAGATTACTGGGGCTTGCCCTGGGAGGGTTTATCTTCCCTGCATCGGCTTAGCCCTCTCTCTGCTTTTTCTCTGCCATGAACCAAGTAGCTTTCTTCGTCCATGCCCTTCTGCCATGATGTTCTGCCTTACTTTGGGTCCAAAGTAATGATGCTGGCCCACCATGAACAAAACCCCTGAAACCATGAGCCAAAATAAACTTTTCCTCAACTAAGTTGTCCTTGGTCACAGCAATGAAAAGCTGACTAACATAATCTGATAAAAATAATCCTCCTGTAGTCCCAGGAGGATTGCTTGAGGCCAGGCATTCCCCAGGGAACCGAGCCTGGGAAACCCAGCAAGATCCTGTTTCCTTAAAAAAATTAAAAAGATGGACTTTGTATTCCATGTACTACTTGAATCCTTTGTGGAAAGAGGCATCGTATTTATGATGACTAATTTACTCACTCCACCCTGACCCAGTTTATACATGTCTTGCAATAGAAGAAATACATGAAATTATTAGAGTTTGAACCATTTCTTAATGTCCAGCCAGTTGGAAGTCATGTAATGACTGCAAAATTAGCACTTCAATGCATATTTTAACAAATGGAAGGTTTATTTCTAAGGAATTAAATGTACCATTAAGAACTGGTTTTCTCAAAAAAAAAAAAAAAAAGAATAACCTTAACTCAGATTTATAAACCCAACAAGGTTTAAAATTGCTTTACACAACTAAACTAAGAAAAAGGAAACGATTCAGTGGCCAACAGGCAAGTAAACAAACCGAACAAAGGTGTTTATATTGGACTCCAAAATAAGTGAAGCTCTTCCTTCTTGCCCTGCTCTTGAGAAAGTCTATTTCAAAATTATGCTTATAAAACCTTTCATTGCAGGGGAAAAAGCATGTAACTTGATGATCTTCGACACCCGAAAAACAGCCAAACAACCCAACTGCTACCTGTTTTTCTGTCCCAGTGAGGAAGCCTGTCCACTAAAACCTGCAAAGGGACTTAGGAGTTACAGGATAATCAGAGGTAACAAAAGCATGTTTCTTTTTCTTTTGTGATTGGAATCAAGGATATGGTTTCTATGGAAGATTTTTTACTAGAATCTAAAAAAACTACCAAAAGGATTCACATGTATTTCACTTAGGGAAATTTAATTTATTAAGCCAAAATTTGTTTTCCAATGAAAGACCTGTAAGTGATAATATTGTGTTTTGTTTTTACATTTATATGATAAAAGGTACACAGATCGCTCATGAAAGTCTTTTTTTTTTTTAATTAATCCAGGTTCACTCTACCGCTAAGCCATATTCCTTCCCCTTTTTTATTTTTTCTTTTGAGGTAGGGTCTCACCAAGTTACCTAAGCTGATCACAAACTTGTGATCCTCCTGCCTCAGTTCCAGGTAGCTAGGATTTTAAATATATGGCACCCAGACTTTTTTTTTTGCTTTTGTGTGTCTGTGTGTCTTTGTATGTATGTGTGTGTGTTACTGGGGATTGAACCCAGGGCCTTGTACATGTGAGGGAAGCTCTCTACCACCTGAGCTCTGTTCCCAGCCCTGGTTTTTGTTTTTAAGTTCTTCTTTAAAACAGTGTGAACGACACTGGAAGTACACAAGTCTCTGGGGCAACTATTTTTAAAAGGTTAAGATCTATATAAATATATAAACTTTTAGTATATCTTTATTAAATTTTCATTATTTTATAATCATATTATCTGAAATAAAATTCACTGGATTTTGTTATCTAGAACTAGAGGGACATTCAATCAAGAAATATTCACTAAACATCTACTATGTGCTAGATTCTACGCAAAGCACTTGTGAAATTTACATATTAGTTTAGAATGTAAAAAGTGATCAGCTAATAAAATGGATGATTACTTAGATACGTCTTTCTGGGATTTTGGCATGTTAAGTTTTTCAGGATGAAATGCTTTCTGTATCAAATTCTCTTTAAGTTTTAGAAGTGTTTTTTTAAATCATACCCTTGATTATTAATATTCTATTTATTCAATAAATAACATTATTTAGCAACTCCTGTGTGCCAAGCACTTTTTTATTTTGGTGCTATCAGGGATTGAACTCAGGGACGTTCGACCACTGAGCCACATCCCCAGCTTTTTTTTTTTTTTTTTTCTTGCCAAGTTGCTTAGGGCCTATCTAAATTGCTGAGCCTGGCTTGAACTTGCAATTCTCCTACCTTAGCTTCCTGAGCTGCTGGGATTATGGGAATCTGCCATCATGTCCAGTGTGCCAAGCATTTTTTTAACACCCTAAGTAAACAACACTAACCATGAAAAAGAAAGTTATCACTTCTGAAATTTAGGGGAAAGAGATAATAACCAGTATAAACAAATAATCAAGAAAAATATATGGAGAGAGGAGGGGAGGGAAGGAGAAGTACTGGGGAACAAAATTGACCAAATGGTATGCCTGTACAAGAATATAACAACAAATTCCACTATTATGGGTGACTATAGTGCACAAATAATATATACACATATATATATATTTATATGAAGAAAAATATAACTGTATAATCATAAATGCCTTGCAGAGACTTTGGATTGGATAATGTAATAGATAATCACTGAGTGGACCCTCTTAATCAGGTGATCAGAGAACACATCCATGAAGAGGTAACCCCTAAACTAAGATTTGAACGTGCCAGGAGAAGGGAGAATACCTTCCAGTCCCTGATCCACAGACAGAATGGTCTTGGAATGTCTGAAGAACAAACATCTTATCCCAGCCGGCAGACACAGGATGAGCTGTGCAGAGAGTGATATGCAAAAAGGCAGGAACCCAGATCACATAAAGCTTTGCAAGCCAGAGGAGGGGGTTTTTATTCTACTAAATGTTAGAAAGTTGTTGGAAGTTAATTAGGAATGTCCCCTGGTGTTTTAAAGGTGATTTCTCAATGCTTATTGTGACTGCTCTCTCAGGAAAAGAACAATATAAAGACTGATGGGGGGAGAGTGAGATTTAGACGAAACACAAAGGTGTTGGGGACCAGGGAGGTGGTAGAGGAAATGGAAGGAGGAGTGGACATAGAGGCTGTTCCTGAGATGGAGTTGACAAGACTTGCTGATGGCATGGATGTCAGGGACCAGGACTAGGAAAGTGAAAGAGTTGAGTCCTACTTTTGAACTTGAGCATCTAAATGGATGGAGACACTACTTAGGCAAAATTTTAGAACAGTTTTAAGGTTGAGAGGTGGAGTGGCATCAAGGGTTTCTCTCTTGCCTGCGTTAAGTGTGAGGTTCTTTATTTGTTGCCGAGGAGGGTACCTGGGATTGTCCTCAGTGACACTCAACCACTGAGACACATTCCCAGCCCTATTTTGTATTTTATTTAGAGATAGTGTCTTACTGAGTTGCTTAGCACCTCACCATTGCTGAGGCTGGCTTTGAACTTGCAATCCTCCTGTCTCAGCCTCCTGAGCTGCTGGGATTACTGGCATGAGCCACCATTCCTAGTTAAGTATAAGGTTCTTTGGGGAATGATACTGCTCCTGATACAGCCTGGGTGATGGCATCACTTTGTCTCCCAAGTGAGCCTGTGTTTAAGTTTTGTTCATGAGCAAAGAAACCTGCTATATCAATTATTCCTTCAGTCATGAGCATGCAGCATGGATTCTTTGTATAAATAATAATCTGTTTCTGGAATATGGTAGAAATTATAGTTGAGTTTGTTTTTTAATGTTTATAATACTTCTGCCAGGTGCACACCTGTAATCCCAGCAGTTTGGGAGCTTGAGACAGGAGGATCACGAGTTCAAAGCCAGCTTCAGCCATGGCAAGGTGCTAAGCAACTGAGTAAGACCCTTGTCCAAATAAAATACAAAATAGGGATGGGGATATGGCTCAGTGGTCAATTGCCCCTGAGTTCAATCTCTGGTACAAAAAAAAAGTTTATAATATTGTTGATTTTACAATGCACTACGAAAGAGGAAATATGTGATAAAGATCCTCATCAGTGGGAAAGGAAGGAAAGGAAGCTTGGCATGCTTATAAGTGTTCTGGGGGCAAGTGTCAGACGATGAATTGGAATTAGAATCAAACCATTCTTATGTCAGCCACCAGGGGGCAACATCAGCCCAGAGCAGATTGATAGACATTTAGGGGCAAAGTGGCACAAATCCTACCATGCAAAGAACTGTTTATATATACAGTGTGTGTACAAGTTATGTCCTTAATTCTATTTATGAATATACCTATGTTGATAGATCAAGAGTACCCCATTAAAAACAAATTACTAGGCTGGGGTTGCGGCTCAGTGGTAGAGCGCTTGCCTTGAATGTGTGAGGCCCTGGGTTCGATGATCCTCAGCATCACATAAAAATAAAAAAATAAAGATATTGTGTCCAACTACAACTAAAAAATATTTTTTAAAAAATGACTGGCATGATCCTGTAATTCCAGGTACTCAGGAAGTTGAGGCAGGAAGATTGCAAGTTTAAGGCTGGCCTGGGCAACTTAGCAAGACCGTGTCCCAAAAACAAACAAACAAAAAAAAACAAAAAAAGGAAGGGGGGGGAAGGAGAGGCTAAGGTATGGCTCAGTAGGAGAGTGCTTGCCAAGCATGTGTGAGGCACTGGGTTTGATCCTCAGCACCACATAAAAATAAATAAAATAAAGGTATCATGTCCATCTGCAACTAAAATAAATAAATTAAAGAGTGGGGTAGCTCAGTGGCAGAATGCTTATCTAGCGTTCATGATGCCCTGAGTTCAGTCCCCAGTACGACCAAAATAAATAATGAAATATCAGTTTGGGGTCATATTGAACAAGAGGATATGTTTGTATTTTTAAAAATTATCTCTTGGCCAGGCAACTGGCACACATCTATAATCTCAGCAGCTGGGGAGTCTGAGGCAGGAGGATCACAAATTCAAAGCCAGCCTCAGCAAAAAGTGAGATGCTAAGCAACTCAGTGAGACCCTATCTCTAAATAAATATTAAAAAGGGACAGGGGGCTGGGGTTATGGCTCAGAGGTAGAGCACTCGCCTAGCATGTGCAAGGCCCTGAGTTCAATCCTCAGCACCATATAAATAATAAATAAATAAAATAAAGGTATTGGGTCCAACTATAACTAAAAAATAAATATTCTTTTAAAAAATGGTGGAGGGGCTGGAGTATAACTCAGTGGTTAAGTGCCCTGGGTTCAATTCCTGGTACCAAAAAAGAAAAATTATCTATCTCCTATTTGAAGTAAAATTCAATGTAGATATATATTTAATGGTTCATATCTGGAGGCACTCTTATTTCCTATATTCAATTGACAAATATTTACAGACTGAAAATTTGAAAGATGACAGTGGACTTTGTTCATTCTATAAACCCATCACAGTTTGGTTTATTTAATCTTTTTTTATAGTTTTAAGGTATGTAATTTCTACCCAGGACTGGAAGAATAGAATTCAGAAATAAAACAGATTGGAACTCTGCTCAGCTAATCTCCATTAGCTAATCTCCATAAAGTAGTCGCTCTTTGTAAAGGGGAGGCTGTACTGGAGATTGAACCCAATGGTGTTCTATCACTGAGCTATATCCCCAATCCCTTTTTTATTTTATTTTGAGACAGAGTTTTGCTAAGTTGTGAAGACTGGTCTCAGACTTATGATCCTCCTACCTCAGCCTCCTGAGTCATTGGGATGACAGGCAGTCCTTCATTATTATGTTTTTTAATGTTTTCAGTTTTTGAGGGACATAATACCTTTATTTTGCTTATTTAGGGTTTTTTTTTAAGTGGTGCTGGGGATTGAACCCAGTGCCTCATGCATGCTAAGCAAGTACTCTGCCACTGAGCCACAATCTCAGCCCCTAGTCCTTCATTTTTTGACTCAGTGAAGTCTATTGGAAAATGAAACTCAGAAGAGTTGAGAGCAGAGGGCTGTTTCTCAGCTCCTTCTATGGTTTATCTCTGCGACTGAGAGAAAGTGCCACGCCTCAGTGCAAACACCAGTGGAAGAGGTAAATGGAGCAGGTGTGGAGATCCCTTTGGGCTTCTAGGAACGTTGCCAATACAAGGATCTTTTTTTTTTTTTTTTTTTTTTTTTTTTTTTAGTTGTAGATGGACACAACATCTTTGGTTATTTATTTTTATGTGGTGCTGAGGATGGAACCTAGGGCTTCACACATGCTGGGCAAGTGCTCTACCACTGAGCCACAACCCCAGCCCTCCAATACAAGAATCTTATCAAGAAATGGGACTATTTGTCTTTTTGGTGTTAAGATTTGAGTTCTTTATGTGTCCTAGAGATTAGTGCTCTATCTGATGTGTGTGTGGTAAAAATTTGTTTCCAAATTGTAGGCTCTCTGTTTACCTCACTGATTGTTTCTTTTGCTGAGTAGCAGCTTTTTAGTTTGAATCCATCTCATTTATTGCTTCTTGGTTTTAATTCTTGCACTATAGGAGTCTTATTAAGGAAGTTGAGGCCTAATCCAACATGATGGAAATTTGGGCCTACTTTTTCTTCCATTAGGAGAAAGGTCTCTGGTTGTATTCCTAGGTCCTTGATCTACTTTGAGTTGAGTTTTGTGCATGGTGAGAGATAGAGGTTTAATTTCACTTTGTTACATGTGGATTTCCAGTTTTCCCAGCACCATTTGTTGAAGAGGCTATCTTTTCTACAATGTATGTTTTTGGCACCTTTGTCTAATATAAGATAATTATAATTATGTAGGTTAGTCTCTGTGTCCTCTATCAATCAATATATATATATAAAAAAATGTGCAACATCTCTAGCAATTAGAGAAATGCAAATCAAAACTGCTCTAAGTTTTTTTATCTCAATCCAGTCAGAATGACAGTTATTAAAAATACAAACAACAATAAGTGTTGGTGAGGATGTGGGGGAAAGGCACATTCAGACATTATTGGTGGGACTGCAAATAGGTGCAGCCAATATGGAAAGCAGTATGGAGAATCCTTAGAAAACTGGGAATGGAACAGCCATTTGACCCAGCTATCCCCTTCTCTGTCTATACTCAAAGGACTTAAAAACAGCATACTACAGGGACACAGCCACATCACTGATGTGTTGTTTATAGATACACAATTTACAATAGCTAAATTTTGGAACCAACCTAGATGCCCTTCAATAGATGAATGGATAAAGAAAATGTGGTATATATACACAATTGAATATTATTTAGCATTAAAAGAGAATAAAATCATGGCATTTTCAGGTAAATAGATGGAGTTGGAGAATATAATCCTAAGTAAATTTAGCCAATCCCCCCAAAAAAACAAATGTCAAAAGATTTCTCTGATTTATGGATGCTGGTTCGTAATGTGGTTGGGAGTGGGGCATGGGAGGATGTGATGAATACTAGATAAGGCAAAGGAGAGGGAGGGAAAGGAGGTAGGAAAAGTTGGTGGAATGGATGGACATCATTACCCTAAGTACATGTATGAAGACACGAAATGTGTGAATCTACTTTGTATACAACCAGAGATGAAAAATTGTGCTCTATATGTGTAATATGAATTGTAAAGCATTATGCTGCCATATGTAACAAATTAAAATTTTAAAAAATAAATATAAAATATATAAAATTTAAAAAAAGAAGAAATGGGACTAAGCTGAGCAAGGTGGCGCACACCTGTGATCCCAGCTTGTTGGAGGGCTAAGGCAGGAGAATCTTGAGTTCAAAGCCAGCCTCAGCAACTTAGCAAGGCCCTAAGCAACTCAACAAGACCTTGTCTCTAAAATATTTAAAAGGGCTGGGAATGTGGCTCAGTGGTTAAGTACCCTGGGTTCAATTCCTGGTACCAAAAAAAAAAAAAAAAAAAAACGTATTACATATTACTTTAGGAAAAGGCCTTGGCTTTCCTTTATTTCTGAATTTGCATGCTTGATAAAGAAAAGACTATTTCAATCATTCTTGTTAATGGCTTTATTTGCCTTGTGATCTCACACACATTAGAGCGTATTTACCTATATAGTTTCTCTTTTTATTCCTCAAGCTTTAAAATGAAACTTGTTGTGTCATTATCTTTTTTTTTTTTTAATCATTGAAGGTCAAATTCAAGGCCCTGTGCATGCTAGGCAAGTGCTCTACCATTGAGCTACTCTCATCAAGTCTTTTTTTTTATTATTATTATTTTTAGTTGTAATTGGACACAGTACCTTTTATTTATTTATTTTTATTGCTGAGAATTGAACCCAGTGCCTCACATGTGCTAGGCGAACATTCTACTGCTGAGCCACAGCACCAGCCCAAGTCTTTTTTTTTTTTAAATACCTGAATTCTCTCTAAAGATACAGGTACTTTTCTGATGTTGAAGTTATGAATGTGAACATGACCTGTACTAAAAATGCTCCTATTCTGCATTGTTAGAGGAAAAAGGAAATTCAGGCATCCAAATTCTACTTTAGAGTACTATATCCTAGAGCAGGTGTCTGCCAATGTTTTCTATGAAGGTTTGACTATTTTAGACTTTTAAGGCCAATATTTTAAGCAGTGTGGGGCATACATGATCTCTTGTACCTATTCACCTTTGTCCTCATATATAAAAGCAGCCAGAGATAGATAACATATAAACAAATATATGTGTGTATCAGTAAATCTTTATTTATGAATACTAAAATTTGAATATTGTATAATTCATGTGTTACAAAATATTATTCTTGTTTTGCTTTTTTCCAACCATTTGAAAAATGTAAAAACCATTCTTGGTTTATAAGTCATACAACAACAGGCATCAGGCCAGACTTGGCCATTGATCCATAGTTTGCTGGCCCTGTCCTACATAGATTGATAAATGATAGCTCTGAAGGGCCACCTAGGGGTATGAGGCTTAGAGAGTAGCCACAGGATATTACAAGTATGAAGCTGCCCCTGGATCTGTTAGGAAACAGGGGAGGACTAGTTTAAAAACTGAGATGGATGGGATTTGAGGAAGAAGGGAGTCAACCAATAAAAGCCAGGAAATTCCTCAGCTTCTTTCCTTGTGTTTTCTGCAATTCTGATCTAAGCAAAATGACTAGCCAAGTAGCAGAGTAATTCAGACGATCATTTGCTGCACTTGATTACCTGAACAAGCTTTTCTGGTTTGAGCTGTGATAGGTGGTGTGTGTGATCAAGAGCCAGAGTCTAACCTTTCTCCAGCAGGAACACATCTGAGGCTGGTTCTTCCCCCACAAGAATCAGGACCATGAGGTTTTCTGCTCTTCTGATTGTCAGTATGTCTGTCCCATCCTCCTCCTAACCTAAGCATTGATTATAATGTTCTAAGCTTTGAGAGTCAAAATTAAATCTCCCAGGTAGCCTTCCTCCTGAGTACAGTGCTGGAACTGTGCACCCCAGGTGTTTGCTTGAGAAATGTGATCAACCTTCTGCTGCTGCCTTAGTTCAGTGTGCTGAGACCAGATCCAGCCCTCTCCTCCTTCCTGTTAAAGGACATCACAGGAATCACAGTTCAGTTCTTCCCTGCTGAACTCATCACCTCACTTTCCCACCGCTCCTACGTAGCCTTTCTTGCCTGCCCTGTGCCTATGCTATGAAATCTGTCCTAATAATTACTTGTCATCTGAGTCCCAGTTGATATGTCCTGCAAGAGCTCGTGCCTCACAGCAGCCTCCTCCCTGCTAGTCCTCAATTTGCTCCTTTTACCTTGGCCCAGCTCTCTGCCCTTGCCCCAGCCCCATCTTCCTAACCCTCTTGTTGCCCATGCCAAGCTCCTCTTAGCCCCCTGCTTTACTGCTCCTATCTTTTTCTTAATTTACCTGAAGTGCCTCCAGACATTTCTTCTGTTCCATCAGAGTAGAAATAAACCACAGCATCGGGCAGAGAGGCAGTATCATCAGATTCTGATTTAGCAACTTGTATTTTTCCTTTTTATACATATTTCAGTGGAATATCAAGTATCAGGGCCAAGGGTGTAGCTCATGGTAGACTGCTTGCTTCTTAGCACACCAGGCCCTGCATTCAGTCTCCAATTTAAAAAAAAAAAAATCAAGTATCGGTTATCAGTTGGAAGATAAGTTTAAACAAGCTGTTGTGTCATATTTTTTAAGCCACCCTAGCATGGACATATTGAAGTCTCCTTTTGTTTACATTTTCAGATTTTCCATCTTTGACCAGAACTGATTTGCCACACCAAAAGTTAGCACAAGAAGATGATCTCTTCCATGGCCAGTCTTCACAAGCGGTCACTCCCACTCTCCTTCCTCTGACAGGTAATTTGAAGCCTACTGATCTCTTATGGAGAGATGCACTTTCTCAGAAGTCTGGATCCCCGGGTCACTTGGAGAAACTATTCAAGACTGATCAAACGACTACACGGGTCTCTGTTTATAAAGAGAATGTCCATTCTCAGAATTCACAGTTTTCCTCAGAACTAGAAATAGCTCATCCACTGCCTGAAAATGCAGCTACCTTCCCAGCTCCAGGGGCTGCTGCTGCTTCTCTGCCTGACACCTCTGCTCCTCTGAAACCTGCAGTTCTTCTACCGACCAGTACTTCAGTGAGACCCTCTGTGACTTTCCAACCATGGGTGGTCACCACAGCTCCACCTGTAACCACTGTCACCTCTCAGCAGACCAGAGCCCCCATTTCTACGGTTTTTACACATGCCATGGTTACACCTCAAGTTAAAATTACAGCAGCGGTTCCAATTACCATCTTTCAAGCATCTACAGGCTTGACAGGCACCTCAGAAACTGTGTCCTTTAGAGAAATGCTGACTTCAAACATAAGGTCTGGGCATAAATCTGCTACACTTTCTTTGTCAAATGTGGAGTCTTCTGCTACAAATAAAACTGCTTTTCAGGACAATGGGAAGGCCAGCGTAGGTGGTTCATCACTAAGCAGAGTTCCAGAAAGCCCATATAGCCTTCCATTTGAAAAGTGGCTCCTCATGGGTACCCTGCTCTTTGGTGTTCTGTTCCTGGTGATAGGCCTCATCATCTTGGGCAGGATGCTCTCAGAATCCCTCCGCAGGAAACGGTACTCAAGACTTGATTACTTGATCAATGGAATCTACGTTGACATCTAAAGGCAAAAGTAGCTATCTCTTGATTATTTATTAGTTGGAAGCCAAATGCAGTGAATTTCTGCTGACTTGCTGGTCTCAATAGGAGATTGTATTCTGAATACCAGAAAATGTCCCTTACCAATTTCCTTTTGCTTGTTTTTTTTTTTTTGAGAAGGAGAAAAGAAACTGAATTAGCTAATTTGAATGATATGTCTCTGAAATACTGACTGAAAATAAAGCTCTACCTAAAGTAATAAAGTGTGATTGCCATATAAATTGGGAAATTCAGCTGGCTTTTTGCAAGGAATAAAGGTTAGGACGTCTGGATTCCAATTTGTTAATATTTCTGGTTCCAGATAAAGTCGACTGTTTATGATATTAGTTTTAATGGATTTGATTTTCTTTTTATATGAATTCCAATAAAACTTATTCCAGATGTATTTCCTTCCAATTAAATATTTGAATAAATCTTTTGTTACTCGGTAATGTTCTCGAAAGTGACATGTCCAGCTGGATAACTTTCAGTTTATTCCCACCAGCAATATGATGAAATGATGAAAATATGTGTTCCAAGTTAAAATGACAAATCCTTCTTTTCCCGTCAAGGAGCAAAGAGGTTCCTCTGGGAAACTTTTAGCAGAATATCAGCCTATATGGAGACAACAATTAAAGCCAATTCAAATAAATGGCCAAATCCACTTGGGGTCTGTTCTTTTTGTATTAACATTTTCCTAACTTGTACTAATTTTAAGAGGTACCAGTATTATTTATAATTCTTTTTCTAAACATCACCATCAGCCAATTTTATCTTTATTTGGAACAGAATCAGAAGTAATATAAAACACTTATATTGGTATGCTATAATTTTTATTGGTTGGTATTACTGAAATTTCTGAGAAATGCTTATAAAAGAGTTTGCCAGACAAGTTAAAGTTGGGATAACTGAGGCTACGAGGCCACCTAGGTCAATTTGACATGTCATTTCTCTGAATGTGGGTCTGTTTTTCTCTAAAACAAGAAGTTTGGGCTCTTCAGGTATAAACAGGATTAAGATAAAAATGAATTTCAGATGAGCAGTTTATACAGTGAGCACTAGAGGGCAGTAGCTGGTTAATAAGCATAGCCACGGAGACAAATGTAGACAATGACAAAAATGGGCTCCTCTCTTCTCACTCCTCCTTCCTCACCTGTTCCATTCCCTCTGCTCTCCGGCTGCCTCTCCCCCTTCCCCTTGGTTTATGGTTAAGCTCATAAAGCATATTAAGAGGAAAGCTAGCCTATTGAAAATACTACTTTTCATATATTTTGCAGCTTAACAGCTTGACACAAATCTCCAAGGGGTTTACATAAGCTTTAAGTAGGTTGAATAAATAAAACCTTGAGTCAATTTAATTTAACAAGTATTTATTGAATATCTACATGTAGACCAGAATCAGATTAGTTAACCAAGTACCTTGGAATTTTAAAATGTCTCCTCTCTTTGATAATGGATTTGAAGAGTGAAAATAAGGCTTTCTGTGGGTGTTTGTAAAAGATTCTGGTTCTCCTGTTGTTTTCTGTTCACTTTCTTGGGATCTTTGTGATGGGGAGACTAGACAGGAGGCTGTAGTAGTTAGTAGTTCAGATGAGAGAGACTGTGGAGATGTGAGTTGTAGAGAAGAATCTGAATTTAAGAATAAAGGGGGGGAAGATTCCTGCACCTGGTATGTATTTATTTTTGAGATGGGATCTTACAGTGTTGCCCAGAATAGCCTTGAACTTTGAGGCTCAAGCCATCCTCCTGCCTCAGTCTCAATAGTAGCTGAAATTAGAGGAATGCCCCACTGTGATTGGTTGTTCTCAGATGGCTCTAACAGTGACTAGCCTACTCAGCCTCTTGGACAAATCTCGCTGAATCATGAGCCCTTTCCTTTGATTTGTTGGAAGGAATGGTAGCAGACTAGAACAGGTGAGAAGACTAGGAAGGACCCCCTGATCAAAAATATCCTCTCTTCAGCCAGGTGTGGTGGTGCCCACCTGTGGTCCCAGCTATTTGGAAGGCTGAGGTAAGAGGATTGCTTGATCCCAGGAGTTCAAGTCTATCCTGGGCAATATAATGAGACCCCTGTCTCAAAAGAGAAAAAAAATTCTTAATTCACCAACATGACACTTACCCAGGATTGAGAGACTGCTTAAAACAGCTAATGACTAAAGGATGAAGTTTATAGCTTATTCATCCCAGATGAATTCTGCTGCATTCTGGTTTCTCCATTACCCCTGACCCGAAACTCCTTGGCTTCCAGATTGCAGAGCTACCACTTATCTACCCAACAGCCAGCCCCACTTTTGCCTGTTTTGTTACAAATTGGAAGTGCCAGATTCTCTTTCCCAGCTCCCTTTGCAGTGAGGGTTGGTTATATGACTAAATTCCAGATGAGTAGAACCCTGCTGGGAGCTTCTAGGAAAGCTTGTTAAGAGCATGGGAGCAAAAAGAGCTTTGCTCTTTAAGTCTTGCTTGGGATGATGGATGTGATACTTGGGGCTACTGCAGCCATGAGAGAATAAACATTAACATGCTAAGTATAGCAATGGGATATGGAAAGAGACTGGTCCCGGTGCCTTAGCTAAATGACAAGACTAACTCTGGAACTGCCAATGTTAATTTTGTTCTGTGATAATCTCTAACATCTCTGCTTTTAGTTGAGTATTTCATTACTTAATAATGATAGCAAATGCTTATAAGATCCTTACACTAGGTGTCTAGAACACTTGCATATGCTAACTTATTTCATTCTTACAATAACTTTTTGAAGAATTTTTTTTTTAAAGAGAGAGAGAGGAGAGAGAGAGAGAGAGAATTTTCTTTTAATATTCATTTTTCAGTTCTCAGCGGACACAACATCTTTGTTGGTATGTGGTGCTGAGGATCGAACCCGGGCCGCACGCATGCCAGATGAGTGCGCTACCGCTTGAGCCACATCCCCAGCCCTTTTTGAAGAATTTTTATCCTTATTTTGCAAGTGAGGAAATTGAGGCAAAGAGAAGCATAAGTGGGGCTGCTGTTGCAGCTCAGTGGTAGAGCACTTGCCTAGCATATGTGAGGCACTGGGTTTAATTCTTAGCACCACATTTAAAAAAATAAAGATATTTTAAAAAGAGAAGTATAAGTGACTGGCCTGAGGTCACTTGCCCAGGTGGTCTGGTTCCAGAGTTCTCACTCTCAAGTTCTTATATTTGGAATGATACACAGTGAATCAAAAAAAGGTTTGTAGTAGACAAGGCATATTCTAGATAACATCTTTTAAATAATTTTGGGATGAATGATAACCTTGGGTCAAAAGCATGGAAATTCAGAGGTCAGTGGTTTCATTCTGGAATAGGTTTCATTCACTTTCTCAGCCACTGAGAGCCCATCATCTCATCTGGTCACTGACAACATGTGCAAAGGCTAAGGGTCACACTCCAGAAGAGAGAACCATTCTGTTCCCCTCTGTCCTTTCACTGTCAATAGTACCACCTGCCACCCAATCTCTCCTACATTGAGCAACTTCATAGTCACATTCTAATTTCTCTTCTGCCTCAGCCTCCACATCCAATGTTTACCATATCCCCATTTTCTTTGAAAGATGCATCTCAAAGTTAGTGATTCCCACTGGTACTCCTGTTTGGTCTTTTGCTGTGGTTTGACTGTGCTCCTCAAAGTTCATGTGTTAGAAACTTAATCTCCATTGCAACAGTGTTGGGAACATGGGGACTTCAAGATGAACAGAGTGCACTGGGGATGCAGCTCAATAGGAGAACTCATGCTTACCACCAACAAGGCTCTGAGTTGGATACCCAGCACAACATTAGAGATATGATAAATTGTGATATAAAGGTGTATTAAGGGGCTGGGGATGTGGCTCAAGAGGTAGCGCTCTCGACTAGCACACGTGAAGCACTGAGTTCGATTCTCAGCACCACATAAAAATAAAATAGAGATTTTGTGTCCACCTAAAACTAAAAAATAAATATTAAAAAAGGTGTATTAATAATTGGAATGCAAAAAAAATCAATAAGAGAGCTCATGTATAATGGCATAATTTGCTGTGAACATACTTTATATGCAGAGTTATGAAAAATTGTGCTGTGAATGGATAATTATGAATGAAATGCATTCCACTATTGTCATGTATGAATTAATTAATTTTTTTTAAAAAAGCAAAAGCAAATAGACCATAGGACTCCACCCTCATGAATGAATTAATGCCCCATCATGGAAGTGGATTAGTATTTGCAGGAGTAGGTTCCTGAAAGGTTGAGTTTGGTCCCCTTTCCTCTTTCCCTCCTACTCTTGCTCTCACGCTCTCTCTCTTTCATGCATATGTACCTATGTGCTCTGGAGCTTCTGCCTTCCAGGAAGGAATATGCAGCAAGAAGGTCCTGACCAGATACAGTCCTGTAACCTCCAGCCTCCAGAACTGTAAGAAATAAATCTCTATTCATTATAAATTATCCAGTGTCAGGTATTCTGTTGTAGCAGTGCAAAATGTCCTGTGACCCTACTTGCTTCTCCTTACTCAGTTCCCATGTCACACGTTTCCTCCACACAATTTCAAGTTCCTTTAAAAGAACACCACCCGGGCAGTAACTCATACATTATGCTGTGTGCCCTCCTACCACCTATAGGGGTGATGACCAACTCAGTGTGGCATAGCAAGCCTCCCTACGCTCGAGCTCCAATCTAACCATCCTCCATCTGCCTCCTTTCTCACAAAACCTGAGCTGTAGCTACACAACCCCTTTCATCATTTCTCAAATATGCCAAGCATTTTGATGAGCCATGCTATTCCCTCTGCCCTTTCCCCTCTTCACTGGGCAAATTTCCTCTCATCCCTCAAGACCAAGGTCAAACATCACCTTCAATATTGTCTCCAGTTTCTCCCAGGGGAGGTATTATTCCTCCTGGATTACTGACACAGCTCTTGATTTATACCATGAGCAAAATACTTCCATAGTATCTTCTATCAGTTTATATATTACATTGCTAGACTGATCTGATAGTGTTTCTCTGCTGCATCTATGCTTAATAGTGTGTCTGGCACATAGTCGACACTCTATAAATGATCTCAAGTGAATTTAAAAACCTATTTGGAGAAGATCGTTCCTTTCAGCAATGGGCAGTAATAGGAGTTGGCTGTGTGTGCAACAGCTTCTATATCATAAAGAGAAAATTCAATCAAGACTCCACTTACATGGATGTTTTAGGAGAATGGAATAAAATCCAGGTGTGCAGTAATAAAGTGTATACTCTCATTTTAACTGAGACCATACACTGGGGGATTGGCAGAGAAGCAATTGATTGATTTTGTTCATTTCTCTCAGGGCTGAGACAGCACAGTTTACTTAGCCCATGGAGATAATTAGCCAACAGAATAAATTTTTGTGCCCTTATATTTTTGGTTAATTTATAATTAAAGTAATTTTAGAGTCTTTTTGGAGCCAAAACAAAGCTCATAATCTGTTATTTGTTTCCCAACTATGTCAGTCAGTGAAAGAGCCCAAATTAAAGCCTAGTGCTCCAGCCAGCCCATTCAATATTTCTCCACTGCACAGTAATGTGAATGGGGTATGTCTCTATAAAAATAGTACTTCTCGGAACACACACCGGGGCATTCAGAGGAGGAGGATTCACTTTAAAGTTTCAATCTCAATATATATATTATGCAAAATTACAATT